CATGCCATGTCCACATGCCCGTGCTGGTTACTAGGGGTGGGAGAAAAACCCAATACGCCATAGTATCGCAATATTTTGTCCGGTGATATATCGTATTGTCTCATTTACCAAGTATCAATTTTTCAAATTAATTGCTAATATAAAGTCAAATCTATGATAATGGGAAAATAAAATCAACTGTTTGTCCAGTGAGGTTGGCAGAGGTGACATTATAAAGCAGGAGAAAGTTAGTGCAAAAATTTATATATGTAAGGTTTGCAAGATGTGCTTTATGAAAATAAAATACAGCATAAATAAGACAAACATAAAGGAAAGACAAATGCTAAATTAGCTAAACAGTTGAAAAATTGTGTAAATTGCAATATATTGTATCGCAATACTCACTGTATTGCGAAATGTTAAAGATTGCAATGTTATTGTATCGCAGCCTAATGATATCGTGTCCTGAGGCCACTAGTGATTCCCACCCCTACTGGTTACCATTGCTTAATAAGAGTTGTAACCATAGGAGAGTGGATCGGGAAGAAACAGGGCAGAAAGAGTGAGGGGGGGGACTTGCTGAGGGTGGAGCTCCATACCTGCAGGGGACCGTGTACATAACTCTGATACCAATGTAGATTCATTTTATTGAGATTTTCATTTATGCTAAAGGTACAAGTGTTGTTGTTGTTAGCGAGTGATTCGTTCAAAAGAACCGAATCTTTTAAGTGAACACACAGAACTGAATCACTTCCTCAAGTGATTTGTTCGTTTCTCACCTCAGTTGAGCTGTCAGCAGTGCAGCTGCCATAGCATGACGCATAGATCATCTATTGCATGATCCTATCATTGCGAGGGAACGGTGCATGTTCAGTGTGAATTCTCCGCTGAATGTACTATGGGGTAATTGTTAAGTGAACGAATCACTCACTGAGCCCAATTTACTGAGTAGACCAGGATAAATAGCATACCATTGGACAGTACACTTTAAACATTGTGATTTATAAACAAGTACCTGTTTTTCATAGCAACACAGCCACAACACTCTTGTCTTTTGGTCCCTGAAGCTATGATCTGAACTGAATCTTGAACTGTTCAAATGTGTATCAGTTCGGGAAGTCAGAGTCGCAGGCCCTTCCCGTCAAGCACTCAATGATTGGGTGAAAGAATCTTTTGAACGACTCTTTTTAGTGAACTGATTCAAGTGGTTCAGTACATTTAAAAGAACTGTAATGCCCATTACTTAAAGGTACTCCCCTTTGATATAATGTTTTTCCTCTATGTAATGCCTTTCATAAGCATTATAAATTACTCATACTATGTGTGACATTACCGTGTGGCATCCTGGCAAGCAAATCCAATTCACAGTGTGGCCGATTCCCACAACTGGATTTTTAACCCTCCAAATGTGATCAAAGAACAACAAAACAGTCTATGAAATTTGGTCGTCTCAGGTTTCACAAGTCCTTTAAACTGGAGCTTCAATAAATCGAAGTGGAAGGCTTTTATTTTGTAGCTGAGTCAAGGATGCTCTCACAGTGTCAGGCTGATTCCCTCGCCAGAGTAAAGAGTGGGAAACTGCACCCATTGCGATTTAAATGATGTGAAAGAAACTCAGTAGACTGTCTGAGCAGAGTAAGACCCCCCACAGCTCCTTTGTTGAAGAATATTTTTATGAACAGCACAACGTTGTCGCCCTAACGCGGTTTTTCATGTTCGTCATAACGGGAAGAGTTTAAAATCTTGTGAAAGAGCTCAGCGGGGTGGTCAAATGAGATTAGAGACCAAAGCTTTAAGAGTTCCTGTAAGTGAGAGTGGGTGGATTTTAAAATGCCTGATAAAAATCTTAGTGGGGAATTTCTGGGGAAAGACTGGAGCTGGCCTCATATTTAATGAATCAGCATTTCCACAGAATAACGAGTGTTTCCAATATTTTTGGTTATAACCAGAGGATAAAAAGTCTTTGTTTTGTCCTCTGTGCAAATGTGTTTGTTGCTAAGTCTGGTTTGGACTCCCAGGAGGTCAGACAGCTGCTGCCATGTGGTTCTACCAGCCTGAGCATTACTCATCTGTCTTATTCCATATGTGTGTGTGTGTGTGTGAGAGAGAGAGAGAGAGAGAAAGAGAGAGTGTCTCAAGGCTGAACAGTGATTATAGCGCTACCTTAATGTTTCTTGTGCAAGCTATTCCTCACCAAAGGTTGAAAAAGTCTGACTTTTATCATCTTTATCTGATAACCCCCAAAAAGTACCGCAGAAAAACTGTCATAGCCTAAAAATCCAAGCTGTTCATCAGTCAGCAGAAAAGACTCCAGCAGATTTCACCGCTGCCTGATAATACTTGAGCAAAAATGTTCGTTTCTACCTCGGGGCTGATTTTGAAAGTCAGGAAATGATTAGTTACTGAGCACAGAGGAGGAGGAAGTTTAGCAAGATCCTGTCCTGCAATCCAGGCAACGGCAGAAGAGCGATTGCTGCATAGTAACTTGAACTTTTAACAGTGGTGACAATAGCAACAGTGGTAAAAGTTTGAGCGAGGTGTTTCTGAAGAGGTCAGTTGTCAAACCCACAGAAGAAGGAGATTTGAAAAAGGACAGAAATGTCAACATAAATTTTCTAATTTTTGTGAAAATGTTCCGTTTAGTGTGTTTTTTAAGAAATAAGCAGCCTGGAATTATGGCATAACCATGACAAAACGTGTTCAGTTTAATTCTGATTCATTGAAATGAATCTGTTACTATGGAAACAGTAACCCACGACTGAATCAGAGGAACGTCTTTTCTGTATAAATGAATAATTTCCAAATCTGTACAGTAAACATCTAAGTTTGTCAGTCTGTGGTTAGTTTCCATGTAAGAATGAGTAGGTGGTTATGCAAATTAGAATCCTCTTTGAAAATATCCTATAGTGTCTAACTTTTTTTTTTTTTTACTTTAGGGTGTTTGTTTTTAATTTCATGCAAACTTTGCCTCAACTTTTCTGCATTAAGAAGCAGCTTTGTTGAATACTTTTTTTGCAAGCTCGTTACAAACAATGCTGTTTGGTGTAATTGGCAATTAAATGATAAAACTAATGTGTTAAAAACTGCTTGTCACTTATTGTAGTAAATACAACAGGGTTTATATTAAGAAGCATTCTGTTTTGTTTCATACTTTGTCAAAAAAAGTAGGAATTTTAAATTAACAGAAGGTGTTACTGCAGTGACGAAAAGAAGTGAAGAAACCAATCTCCTGACCCCCTCACCTCAACAGTTGATGCTTTGCTGTTAGGTTACATTACCGACCATATGGCCCCCCATGAGCTCCAACGTCCAAGCATGGAGATTAAAGGGGACGGAGTTACACTGGGGTTACAAAATGAGCACCTCTTTAAACTGGTGTTTTGATAAGTTAGGCCTTTGAGTGGCTGAACAAGTAGCTCTCATATCCTGTAATCATCCTCCTCCAATGTTAAAGAGTCAAGCCTTTCTTCATGAATGAAACAGATTTGATTCATCCGAAAACAGAATCAAAACATTTACATCTAAAAACAGCCCGTTAATTTAACTTTGCTTTTTCAAAAATCTCAGATCACGCCAAGAGACTTTCATGGCTACAGGGCAAGTGCACAGTATCTAATAAATCGCCTCAGGTAGTGTCACATGAGGCAGCGGCGTTTGGAGTGGAGGACTCCATCCTTGAAAACAAAAATAATCTCAAAGTGATGAGTTAGAAAGAAGTGAACTTAACTCTAAAGCCCACTCCTTATGCTTGAGGATATTTGATATTACTTGCATAACACTACTGAAGTCTCATACAGATCTGTTGGCGGCTAAGCTGCATCGTGAGTACAAGAAAGAAGACACAAAAAGAGAGAAGTATCTGTCCGATGTCGGTAAACAAGAGGTCAAATGAGTTTTCTTTCAGTTTAAAGGGATATTCCGGCATAAAATTAATTTAGGGTCAAACACACCGTTACACTGATGAATGTTGCCAACCAATTGCTTCTCTAGTTATACCAACTTTAGTAACGACCGCACGATAGCAATACACAGCGGTCTGAGGAGCCATTGAGTTCAAACTCAACCAAAACGCCACTTTATAGCCACAAATAATGCTCAGAACAGCACCTAACTTCATCAACAGTACATATAGGGTCCTAGCCATAGTACCAGCCACCAAACATCTTTTTAATTTTGCCTGATTTCTTTAGCAAAGAGACTAAACACAACTCACCTACTCTCTTCTAGCAGCCACTTGTTTGTACGGAGACCTCGGGCCAGTCCATTATGGACTGCAGCGGGGTGATGCAGCTCAAGGAAGAACATTTATGATCATATCTTCATGGAAATGCAATCAGACTGAGACGCTAAGGCAGAAGAACTACCGCATCTGCAGTGCAAAATGATTAAATATGGGGATTATTACTTTAAGGAAATGATAAAGTAATGATCATAAATGTTCTTCCTTGAGCTGCGTCACCCCGCTGTAGTCTGTAATGGACTGGCCTGAGGTCTCGCCACAAACAAGAGGCTGCTGGAAGAGCAACCCTAAATTAATTTTTACTCCGGAATATCCCTTTAAGTGCCTTAGTTTGTTTGCTTTAACCACGTTGGACTCCTAATTCACATTATCCACCCGCTGTACACCCTTAAGTATGTTCAGTACCACCTGCAGATGAACATACAGTATGTTAACTCAACACAAAACTCCCCAAAGACTCGGTTTTCCCACAGCGAGGACTCAGTTTTCAGCTCCAGCAGATGAGACATGAAATTACAGGGAGCTTAAATAAACTCATCACTTTTTCAAGTCTCATTTGATATGGACTAACATCATGTAAATGAATAATGCAGAACCCCTATGGCTCCACACAGAAAGGGCTAAATTTACCTCCAACAGAGCTGGGGCTTTTTTTTCCCCCCTTTGGCTGCAGGGGTTCCTCTCACTTAATCTGCTGTGTGTCCTCAGCTCAGATCAAAAGGGGAAACATTACTGCACATGTTAATCTGCTGTAATCTCTTTAAGATGTTTGACTCGACAATCAGAGGCAGACATCAGTACCTGGCTCTTCAGAGAACAGTGCTGCCTCAGCATTTCTCCGAACAGGGACTTTCGATCGGGGCTGCCACACTCCATCATTTGTGCTATACCTCTCTGTGCTCTTCACATCAGCAGCTGAGTGGAAAAAAAACTGAATATTTCTGATACAATACTCACTAGAATTAATAAACCGAATCACACTGGGGGGAAACAGATGCGTTCGTTCTCTCAAATACGCGTTTGATTTATGAGTAGCCTGCTGTGTTTGCAGTTCTTTCGTGTTGGAGAGGTTTTTTCTTTTGTTCTTGAAGCGGTGCCGTCCATGGAGAGCTGGATGCTGTAGTACCGGGAAGAGCGCCATACATCAGCTTTCCAGACAGGTTCAACACCTACTCTCTCACAACCTTATTCACACACGTCTCAAGGGGTAAAAAACACATCACAGTTTATCATAATACACCAATTCACGGATGCAAACATGCGTGTAAATACCAGGATGATTAGCAGGTTACAGCGTTTGTTCATCCACAGTTTAGCTTCAAAGATAAATGATGAAAAGTAAATGTATTATTGATTATTTGTTGATCTAGTTTCCAGTTTTGAAGAGCGCTTAGACCAAAAGTGAAGAAATCTGTAAAAACCTTAAAACAGTGTATTTATCACAGATTAGTGAAAAATTAATGTCATGCTTTATAGTTATCCGAACAGCATGATGCAAGTTTGTGCGCTTGACTTGAAATGTTTAAACTTGCATAAAAACGCCAAAGATAAATTTCACATGTTCCTGGTCCTGCTTTTTATGCAGCAAATCTTAAATTCGTGACCAAGCTCCAAACACTCAATGTGTTTTTGGTGTTTGGTGTTTTCTTCATCCATCCTACATTTTTATGACGTGGCAACAGAGCCGGCCCAAGCCTCTATGAGGCCCTAAACAAAATTTGATTTTGGTGCCCTCTATTTCTGCCAATAATATTGATTGTTGATCATTCACACACCTTCTCGAATCTCTTTGATTAACATTCCATGACAAGCAAACATATCTTTATTTGGGTGTTTTTTCTCCTCTTCTTCTTTCTTCCTCTTTCTTTTCTCTGCTCCTGAAGGATATGTCCTTTTTTGCGACATTGTTTTGCCCCACAACTGCCTGCGCTTTGGATGCTTAGTGCACAGCAGAAGGCACAAAATGGTAGCAGAGCTTTGACATATCGGCAGTAAGAATCATAGGCCTACATCAGCAGAAGGACTAAAATGTTTTTACTTTATTTTATTTTTTAATAATATATAATACAGGAAGCATCACTCATACATGCAAAAAAATAAAAGATATTTTAAAACTATTTTTTTTTTATTGCTCTTGGGGGCCCCCTATTGGCTGTGGGCCCCTAAACAGGCGCTTAGTTCGCATATGCCTTGGGCCGTCTCTGTGTGGCAACCAGCATAAAGGAAGTCACGGAATTACAGAATACTCATTTTCAGCATAATATTGATATTTAACTTTTGAAAATACAGTTAATGTTCATACCGGTATATTGTGACACCCCAGAGTCATGCTGATTGATTGATTTAACAGTTTGGAAAATAATGATCAGAAGTAATGGGCTTAGATAACATCCTAAAAAGAACAAAAAATAGTTGTTTGTAGATCCTAAAACATGAAATTCTCCAAGGATTTCTTTTCCCGTTTTTCAAACTTGGGCCATCAGCCTGACAAAGCCATGACTGATGGAAATAAACATCACTCTGGGTTCAGGGGAATTTTGATGGACCCTTTCATTTCGCTGCTTTTTCCAAATGAGTAATACTCGGCCTGTTTGTCATTACAGCTCACTGCTATTGGTCTGTTTTAGAGTTATGCTATGAAGCTGACCCAACTGTGTGTTGCACTTATTTTGGGGGGGGAATTTCACTGTACAAGGTAATAATTATTTCTACATTCATCACAAAAGAATGTCATCATTAGCTGCAGCTCTTAGGCACCATAACCAGTTTTAAGTATCCTCTACAACTTAAGTAGCGGTAAGTCCTAGAGACATCCTGCCCTGACTGTGTGCTTCTGCTTTATAACGCTGTGATGAAGAGGTTTTGTGGAGTGAAGGACTGTCATTCATGTGCCTGAACACCGATGGATTAAACAGGCTAAAGAGGTTCAGTAAATAGAAACTTCATAACTGTCGTCTTGTTAACCTTCAAGGTGAGTGGCTTAGTAAAAGAGGCACTTTTGATGAGTCTTCCTCAGACCTTGAGATTTGGACAAAACAGATAACTCTGCAGTGATCATTTTCTGTTGGATTTCTCTCAGATATTACTTCAAAGGCTCCTTCTGTTTACAGCGGTGAATTCTGCACAGATTTCATGATTGTGTAACAGTGATATCTGAAAGTCCTGCAAATGTTTTGACTGTAAAAAGTGGACAAAGAGAAGGTCATTCAGGTCATTCCTTATCGAGTCTTTGAGTGACCTCAGTGCACAGTGCAGTGTGTTACATCCACAAGTATGGTAAAATTAGTGTAAAATCCCCTGAATATAAGAATATAAGGACCTCTTTGTTGACCTAGATTGAGCCTCGATGGCCTAGTCTCAGTGACTTGAAGGCACATTCCCACTAAGTCCATAAGGGCTTGGGAGTGTCCCACTGTCAGTATCCAGTGTGGGAGGGGTTCTTGAACAGACTGTCTGAGCCCTCTCTGCACTCTGTATGTGAGCGGGCATATCTGCACACTTAGCGTGAGGAATTACCCATAGTTCACAGCATTGTGATTTGAAACACAGGACTCCCAGGGGGGAACCGGCAAGCACGGAAGGGTAAACGAGTACCGTTACATGGAAATAAGAAATAGATGTTGACATACGAGCATGGAAGTTGCAGCGTTGATGCTTAAAAATATAGATGTAGGCGAGATGCTATGATCAAATTTAACAATTTTTCCGTAGCACAAAAACTGACTGTAGTGTTATGAAGTCTGCAGTTAGGCCATAGAAATAAAATGGGAATACCTACTTTACTGTTCATATAACTAAAAGAAATATCACTGCAAATAAAAAAACCTTAAACTCTGAATTTCTACTTTGTTGGATATAACTTAAAATTATTATTTGGGGGTGCGCAGATGGACGAGCAGGTTAGCGCGCCTCATGTATAGGGACCCGGTCTCCGCAGTGGTCATGGGTTCAAGTCCGGCCCAGACTTTGTGCTGCATGTCCACACTGTCCTATCCATAAAGGCAAAAATCACCCCAAAAACACTTTAAAAAATGATCATTTGACTGTGTATTGCTGTATGCTTTCAAAATGATGGAGAGTAAACAACGAAAATAAGAATACCTAACACCACTAAGAAGAGCTGAATGAGGCTGTGCTGCCAGTGTCTTGCGAGAAGTCGCACAGTACTTCCTATTCATACCATTTGTGGCTCTTGCAGCCTTGCCCACTCAATCACTCTCCAGGTGACTCCAGTTAATTCCTTAAGGGCTCAGAGCTCAGGGTTTAGGGAGGGAATTGAGATAAATTGCTTATCTTTATAGAAGATAGTACTCTGCCACAGAAGCCGCCATTTTGCATGGCTGTGTTTTTGCTTCACAAGTGGAGGATCGCAGTTACAGTGCATCTTGAGTACACAAGTAAGCCTTTAAGTCTAAATTCTGATGGTTATATTGCTCTTTAGATTCTCCTTCACTTCGGTACACAGTAAAATCTCCAAAAAAAGGAGGTACTTCAAGATTAAGTCAATGTTAAGAAGCAATACACCCCAAACTCGGACACTCCCAGCACCAAGTATGACTGTTGTCTTGATACGTCGTGTTATCATTTTGAATGGTTGTGATGGAAAACACGCAAAAACCCTCAGTTTCCATTTCCCACCTGGCCGTCTGTGTTGCCAAATTCCCCTTCCTCCAAAAACTTTGCCTGATTTTGGTTTGGAACCAAGGGTACACCACTCTGAGAGCCAAGAGCCCTGATTGTTTCTAAGTGTAGGAGAAATTACAACCAGGAACAAGCGATTAATAATGAAATCATACTGTCACTCTGCTTCATTCTCCAATTCTGGTTGTTGTTCTTGGCGATTTATCAAAGAGACAAAAATATCCACATTTCCACATAATCAGCTGCGAAAATAAGGAAATAAAAAACTCCTCCAGTGGACAAGAAATCCTACCTCAGCCCTTCATGTCTTCCTGAGGAAAATCTGAAACATGCAAAGCCAGGAAACAAACCTCCATGGTTCGGGACTTTGGTTTTAATGAGTCGACAAAGGAATTCGAATAGAAAACAGAGACTGGGATATGAAATGAAGGATGGCTAGAGGTAAACAGAACAAGATATCGTTTGCTCCCATTTGCATTTAGCTGGGATTTAATGAGGTTTTTAAATGGCACGATGTTGTAAATAAACGGGAACTCTCTGAGGGTGATGATGGAGTAATTATTACACAGTAATGGAAACCTGTCAGTCAGATGTGGATTATTTTCAGCCTTTCGCCCGGCAGCTCAGTGCTTTTGAGTCAAAGCAACAGAGCCACAGTTTGAGGACTTCGATTCTTCTTCTATTTTTAAAAAGGGAACATTTTTAGATACTTAAGGATGAACTTTTTTCAATTATCATTATTAATTTGTTATATTTTCATAGAGTTGTACATTTATGTGTTCTCTGATAATATAATGTTTATGATATTGGTGCACATTTTTGCTTCTTGGAGTATGTTTTTGCGTGTTGTGATATATTCTCTTGGGATTGAACTGTCTGTTTAGTGAAGGCGTGTACATTATTTTCATGATGTGCATGTTTGAAGTGATGAAGAGCACGTAGGCGATCTCTAAGTGATGCTGAGTTGTGTGTGTTCTGAGAGTGGATGCACATTATTTTTCACTTTGAATCTCGTGCTCGGTGTTGCACGGTGTGCACCACAAGGGACCACATTTCCTCTTCTCCACGTGAAACAGCTTGATAGCGTATCCGGTTTTGATATCTTTACCTCTTTCTATGTGGCAGGATTCAAGCTCAGAGGACATATAGGCGCGGTTCTCTGTCAGAATAAACGTTTTATCTTGTGATCGTCTCCTCCTAGAATGGACAGGATAAAGGGCTAAATGAGGAGTCCTCCCGTTGGAAGAACAGCGCAGCTATTTCCGCCAATCAATATCCATTTCCATGCAAATAAGTGTGATTAAAGCTGATTTCACAGGAACAAGACCTTCGGCGTTCCGGTCACAGATCAAACATAGATAATTGGTTTAATGAAAAGATTTGCACTGTGCATTGTGCAGTTAAAATCAGCATGATGTCTGCTTGCTTGCACATTGAACCATGGATAAATTAACATGTTTCTGACGGGTTAGCATGCTGTGGGATGTTTCTCAGAACTAG